CCCCCCCCCCCCCCCAACCCCCTGCAAATGGGAAGGGAAGGGGAACAGTCTCAGGATGCAAGTAACCTGCCAGCCAACCTTTCTTTTCCACTATGGTTGTTTGGAAAAAAAAAAAAAAATCACCTGGGCATTAACATTTTGAAACACTGAAGTCAGGGACAGTTTTTGCCATAGCAAACACTCTTTGCAGCACCCAGCACAAGAAATCCCATTCACTCATTTATTGCCAAAAAGAGCAACAAGCTAAAAAGAATAAAACAGCAAAACCACTGGCACTCTGGCAACAGCTTGGGAGAACAAGAGCTAAGCGAGAGAGTTGTTATGAATGCACATCCCCAGCCTTGTCCTCCACCTTCTGCAAGCTGGTGCCACCAGGCCTTCTTCTCTAGACCGTGGCATTTTTGGGACACAAAGCAAGCAGCAGGCTGAGCTAAGCTGGGCAGCCCTATTACTTTTGCACCACCTACATAATCCAAGCTATACTTAATCTCAAGCATCCAAATTATAAATATCACCTCATTTACTGCATGAAGCCTACTTCTTGCACTGAGCCAGAAATCTCACTGTTGACTCAGTCAAACCAGATCAGAGCAGCAAAGTCTTCCAAACCAAAACCCACCCCAAAAAGTGCCTTACCTCTGCAGAAACACTGCCATCTTTGCTTCTTTTCCAGGACAATAACCCCTTCAGTCACTATTTCTTGCAAGCCTCTAATACCTTTTGCACTGCCAGCTTCTCCAGAGCTGGCTCTTAGAGTAGGAGCAGCTGCCGGGGTGGGAAGGTAAAGGAGGTAAACCTGATAAGGAACACCTGTGCTTAAAGACAATCTATGAAAGAATTCACCTCTTCCCACAAAACTTGCCTCCCTCTCTTTCTAATAACTAATTCAATATGCTCTCAACTTCTGTGATTTTTTACGGCAGCTTTGGGGAAATGTGGTGTTAAAAGTCCTCTCTCTGCTCCTAGAGCCGTGCCAATCGGCAAAGACCTCAGCTTTCGCAGGACCAAAACTATGATTATTGGGGTCGCAGACAAAGCTTCAAAATAGAGCTAGAGGCCTCCTGAAGGCTAAAATGAAACAGAAGGCAAATGAGAAGAACAGCCAACTTATTGCTCTTTGAAAAATACATCATAGTTTTCAGCTGGCCAGGACAAATAAAACAAAGCCGGGATAGATTGTTATTTTAATATACTGTGATATGCACGTTTATCTCATGGTATCTTGAGGGCTGACTCATGACGCTTAGATGTTTGGGTTTGCCAAGATGGAAGTACGTAAAATACAGCCGGCGGTTTCTGCACCTGGCGCCGGAGAGGAAAAACCCCTGGGAAAAGCCAAGTGTGGCCCAAAACGTAACGGAGATGGGCTCAGCCCCAGCTATTCCCTGTGCTCCCCGCTTCAGTGAGGGCACGCGACTTCTTTGAGGGGTTTCTTGCAAAGCAGCCCGGAGCTGTGCAATGCAAGCAGCCCCTCCATCTGCTGCCAAATTCGGGAAACCCCACGCAACAGAAATCTCAGTCCCCCGCCGTGTCCCGGGAGAGCGCGAGGGGCTGCGGGAGGTAAAGGGGCGCTGCAGGCAAGGCAGAGCTTTTCCCTGTTTTCGCCTTGCACGCCTGGACCCTGAACTCCTTGAAAGTGGGTCTGGCCAAGTGTACGAACATTGCTTTTTTTTCCCCCCCTACTCCGCCACTTCCCAAGGTCCCTGGCCCGCAGCGTTGCTTTTTGACCTTCCTTCCCCCGCGATGGTTTGGGAGCAGCTGGGATAACACACGGGCCTTTCATGTGCCTTTACCTCGAGTGCTTTGAGTAAAAGGGCAGCGGAAGAAGCCACGTTACAGCACCGAGCACGGGGGCAAGGGCTGCACATATTTTAGCTCTCTCCTCGCCCGGGCCCAACCTGCCCCGAACAAACACCGCTGAAGTGCCTTTCATAACACCAGAGAGAGTTGTTTTTCTCCTCTGCTGAGTTTCATGGGCTGTAAACAGCCCTGTAAGATTCTCCGCAGCTGCTCCGTGTGGAAACCAAAAAACCCAAAACGTTCGCTTTGGTCCGTAGCGTACCTTTTATTTCACGTTTTGGGTTCGTTGCTAGTAGCGATTTCACTCCCCGTTCTGCCAACGGACGTTACAAGGGGAGCACGGCTCCAAAAAACCGGCAGCTGGTCCATAAACCTCTTTTGCACAGAGATGTGCTAGCTGCTGGCTCTGGACGCCCGTTAGGTGGGTCTCCACCTGGTGCTATTAGTATTATACCAACTCTGGGAGGGAAAGGCACGGGCTGGCATTTGCCCGATTCATGCTATCTGGTTTTAATAAACGCTTGTGTGAAAAGCAGCGAAGCTGGAAGGAGAGATGAGGCCCCACATCCTATTCAGAGCATCTGGCAGAGCAGATATTGCTAACCCTTTCTCCCGAGGAGGCCGAGAAGCAAGTGCAACTTTAATTTTCAGCAACCGATAGCAACCAAGTGGCAGTTTCAGGCTCTCTACTATTCTCTGGGAAATAGAGAAATTGCTCCCGAACGTCAGCAAGGGCTGCTGAAAGCCCAGCTCATCATCCCTCGTCTCCTTTTAGCCAAAAAGCACGCTGATAGCCCTGAAAAGTACGTGTGCACTGGAACAGTAATCATCTGTTCAGAGGTTTATTTCTGAATTTTCAAGAATTCAAGACACCTAGACCTATTTCCAGCTATGCCAGCTATTGTCATCTGTACAACTTCCAAGGCTTTGTTAAAAAACATGTGATTCTTCTCACTAATGCTCACTTCCATTGCGTAGGACTCACTGGGTTGGTGGAGTTGACAAGGCCAGTAATCAAAAACTTCAGTTTTTTTTTTGATGATAACGTGGTTAATAGCTTGATATATTTGAATCTCCTTTGGCTCCTTTGAGTAATTGAACTCCTTGTGGGGAATGAAAAGCACTAAATCACTACGTTTGCTTTGGGGAGGCTATTCTTTCAGTTAAGCAAGCGTTTATGGGTTTAAGCTATGTAAGCTTGGAAAGGAGTATTAAATAATAAATTGGCCATCTCTATGACAACAGATACACAGCTTTCCTGAAAGAGAGATTGTTTCAGAAGGTTTGCCCGGGGGATCGCAGATAAGAAAAAAAAATCACATAAGTTACATTTTGGCTGCGACGCTTTCAGACATTATTCTTGGCGCCCTTCCGAAATGTGATGAGCCAGTGCAGGTTATTCCACAGACAGGGCCGGAGGCTTGAGGGAGGCTGTGAGGTTTTTTTGCAAGATGCTCTCCTATACAGTCAGAATATGCAGCTCAAGGGGTCCTGGAGCAACAAGGTCTCCATTGATACCTTTGCAATGGCAGAAATCTAGGTTGACCTCTCTCCTATATTAGTTATGACCCTGGGGTGCCATAGGCAAAAAGAAAGGTGCCTAAGCCCAGAAAGGCGATTAAATGACCACTGTGTGAATGGCGGTTCCTCTTCCAAAGAAACGCTTGCTCAAATGCGGCACCTGGCCTTGCTAAGCTCACGCTTCGCTGCCAAAGCACCACCAAAAGCATCATAAAACCTCTCCTCACCGTCTCTCTCTCTCTCTCTCTCTCTCTCTCTCCCTCTTCCTCAGGTCTCACGTTCAGCGCTTAGGAAAAAACTCAAATAAAAGGAACCCAAAAATAAAGGAGCAAAATGAGGAAATATCGACATTTGCCCTTTGGGGCGATACTTTGCCTCCTCCTCTCAGGCTTTTGTCGGGTTGATTCGCAGCAGCAAGCAGGTAAGACGGGACTGCTTGACACGACCTCTCCTCTATGAGACCATACTGCTAGTTCACAGTAAAAACTCTGCCTCGTCTGGTTTTCATATGCATGTTGGTGACCTGTTGTGATTTACCTTGAGCTCCTCAGCTCCTGGTCAGCTGAGGGCCATTTTCTACCCAGGCCTTAGATAACTCACGCGTTACCTTTTCCAAGCATGTCACTAGCCGGTGGTGGCCGTTTGGCAACGCTCTGCGTGAGACTAGGGCTTCGGACGTGGAGGGTTTGCGCCCGGTGTGCCCCTGCAGTGGGTTTTCTCCATCCTCGAGTGATGGAGAGCCCTTGCTGGGGGGGATTTCGACCTCCTTGCATGCGTATGAGCACGGGAAAAGAAAGTGCATTTTGCGACGAGAAGAGCCCTGCTGCCCCGTGGCTGCCACTGAGCTGCAGGGAGGCTGTGTCAGGTTTTAGTAGGACATGCTGGCTTCTTTCGGACTATATTGTATGTCACAGGGAAGTAAAATGTGTAGAAAACTCACTCCAGCTTACAGGCTGCTTGAACTAAGTGGTTTCCCCTTACTCAGATAAAGCCCCTGACCCAGCAAAAACACCCCAGGCCACGGGTGACTTTGGTGCTTGAAGCTGAGCGAGCCCAAATTTCCCCGTGCAGTCACGGATGTGCTTTTTCTGGATGGAGGGTCTGGGAGGGGAGCCGGGGAAGGACGCCTTTCGGGGAGGATGGGCGGCCGGCTCCTCTCGCCAGGGAGGGCAGGTTGCATGCAGTCCCTGGCGTCCCCTTGCCTGCGCTGGCCGGCACTCGCCCGGTGCAGGGGGACGCTTCGCCCTCCTCTCCCGCCGACACACAGTTCATCACTGCCTGGTCCCCCCAACGCTTTTCGTTTCGCTCCGGACGCTGAAGGGAATATAAGTTGCACTTTTGTGATGTGAAAGAGGCCGTCGGAGGAATGCTTGCGCTGACCTGTAGAAAATCCTAAACCCCATCTGTTTTTTTAAAGCTGGCAAACCCGTTGCTGTGGCTGATATAATATTTCTAGTGGATTCCTCTTGGAGCATTGGAAAGGAACATTTCCAACTTGTTCGAGAGTTTCTGTATGATGTTGTAAAAGCTTTAGATGTGGGAGGAAATGATTTTCATTTTGCACTGGTCCAGTTCAGCGGAAACCCCCACACAGAGTTCCAGTTAAATACGTATCACTCTACCCAAGACGTGCTGGCCCATATCGCAAATATGCCTTATATGGGGGGAGGCACCAAGACTGGAAAAGGATTAGAGTACCTAATCGAGAAGCATCTCACTAAAGCTGCTGGAAGCAGAGCGAGTGATGGCGTTGCCCAGGTTATTATAGTGTTAACGGATGGACGATCCCAGGATGATGTGGCTCTGCCATCATCCGTCCTTAAATCGGCCGATGTAAACATGTTTGCAATCGGAGTGCAGGATGCAGTGGAAGGGGAATTAAAGGAAATAGCAAGCGAACCCTTCGATATGCACCTTTTCAACCTAGAGAATTTTACTGCTCTCCACGACATAGTTGGAGACTTAGTGGCAAGTGTCCATACCTCCATGACTCCAGAAAAGGCTGGGGCCAAAGGACTGGTTAAAGACATCACAGGTAATGGCCAACTGCTGTGCTCTGTCATTGCCATGCTGATAGCTTTGATCAGCATGGGGATTGCTGGGGTCGCTATGTCTAAAGCTGGTGTAGGAGCAGACTGAGATGGACAGTCCGAGGTCTAAAAACAAAGGTTTGAAGAGTACGGCCATGTGTTTGTAGCTACAGAGCGTGCCGCTGTTTGCAAGCTGAGCTGAAATCCCTGCCAGACCTCCAAGGTCATGCTGTTAGGAGACAGCGCAGAGCCCTTTGGCGGGAAAAGGCCCATTGATGGCCACCCTTTTGCACCTGGAGGAGCAAGCGCAAACCCAGCAGCTTAATCACACAGCAGCCCGCAGATTACTAAATTGCCCCATCATATCCACTCCTGAGACAGAGAGATAGGAAATAACCTCCTCGGCCATGACGATAACTCTGTAAGACCCTGACCAAAACATCTCCAGAGACTGAGGTTGCTGCTGGCTGCAGAGAGATGGGGAAGAATGTCTCTGCATGGCCTGTAGAGGATGTAGGTGGTGGGGTCTGGGCAATGCAAAGACCTCGTGTGCCTGGTCAGCTCCAGATCATCCTGACCACGCACCTCTGAGGTGCTGACAGGGACAGGCAGTGCTGTTGCCCCACAGCATTGTGGCCCCTTTGATTTTTGGCAACATAGCTGCTGCTAAGCCCTGCGATTACAGAGGCAACCCAGCTGCCATGAGGGGCCTTGGGAAACCATAGTTTCGCTGCCAGCGCAAGGTGACTCTGGAAAGTCTCTTTCTATTCCCTCTTCTTTGCTGAAGATAGCAGAAGTAGCACCTGCTTAGAGCAGTTAGGGTGAGAGGTACCCTCACGAAATTACTTTTCTGAGCTTGTCCATGAATCTTTCATCTCATCTACTTAGAGAAGGTGTGTGGCTTGAGATCCCTTTTACAATGCCACTTAAACACCTTCTTTGTAAGCTGATGACTTCCTCATAGCAGTGCGGGAACCTTCCCGTAACATCTCTACAAGCTACTTTGGCTTCAATGGGTCTGCAGTAAACTGAATTTGCCCGGGAAAAATAAGCCAGTATGAAATCCCAGGGTGCAAAGGGCTGTCAGAGCGTCTTTGTTGTATTTCAAAACAGAAGTCCGAGAGATCAAACCTTTCTTTTTATTCCTGAGACTCCATCTGAAGGTCAAGAGCTGGCGGGGTGATGTGAGGCAATAGCAGTGTGACGAGGTGTGACATTAATCCTCTTGTGTTGTCCTGTCTGCTTAACCCCTCGCGTCCGTCCCCCGGGCGCTGTCCGTCACTGCATGATCCCGAGCAACACGGAAACACTGTGCTCACGTGTGTTTTTGTGCAAAGTGTTTGACAGGGCAACTAGACAGATCATGTGAAAACCACAGCGAAGGAGAGCAGCTGCTCCAAAGACATGACATAAGGTTCACCAATTCTGAGCAAAACCTGCCCCCGTTGGGGTAAAACAGACACTATGCCCGGCGTGCTGGCGCCACGGCGGCGAGTGTTCAGCAGTTTTGCCCTGAAGGGCCCCAGTGCTTCGCCGTTGAAATCAAAAGGGGAATTTGACCTTGGCGGCTGGCTGAGCTCCTCTGGAGCACACCGGCAGGTGACCAGTTAGCCCACAAGTGTCCTGAGCCACAGACATCTCGCTAAAGGCTTTAAGGGCAAGGTCTCACATCATACACACCAAGGAGTATTTCGAAGTCCATTTCCACTAAGAGATAGTAGTTGCAAGCATTTCCTTCCCCGTCTATGAAACGAAATTTAAGCTACTTCAACTAGTGCGGTTTTGGCCCTGTGTGATTTACAGGGGCCATCTGCAGAGTGTTACTATAGCACTGCTGTCACAGGTCCTCAACATTGGAAGATACCACATAGTGGGCAAGGCATGGTACAAATAATTGTTTGCCTAAGAGTTTAAGAGGTCGTTTATTCAGCTGATAACTCCATGTGGCACTAAAATGTGTGGAAATGCCATGGATGTTACACTAGAAACAAACCAAAGAGTGAAGCAGAAATTAAAAAAGAACAACAACAACAACAACAAATAAACCCATAGTACTGTAGCATACCAACGCTGTCGGTCTGTGACGGTCCCCAGAGCTGACTAGCGCAAGTATGGAAGTCAGCCCTGAGTTTGCCCTGATGTGTACATTAAATCTGTCTGTCTCATCTGACCCTCTTTGCTTAGTTGTATAACAAGCATGCTTTTATTTGTCCTCCAGCACTGGCTTGTTCCATAAATGTGCACTGAAGTACCAGGTTTTGTACGGTGATGACAAATTATCCAACGCTCACATCCGTTTCATATCCATTTTCTCTTCTGTGGGCTCTACCCATGCTGCCATGATGACGGCCATCAGCCCATTAAATCTCATTCCTCAAAAAGACAGTCAGGGTGTCTGACCAGAGCTGGAGGCAACCGCTTTGAGATTTTTCTTTGTTTCATATTATTAGGCGGAACGTGTACGTCACAACCCAAACTGGCACGTTAAAGCCAACCATAAGCACTTTCACAAATTTCGATTTAGCGATGAAAAAAAATCTCTGAGGCCTTTGCAATTCTTAACCGCTTTTATGTGTTTAAATGACATCGGTAACTGAGTCCTCCCAGCTCAAGGAGCCGAGAACGGACTGGAGAGCCTTTTCCTTTACCGTTACGTATCTGAATCGTTTGACAGCATTGCGGTGCATGAAAACATTTACGAGAAAATCAACTGAAAAACGACTGACCCTACTGGCTAATAGCAAAAACTGCAGGGCAAATTCTTGACCTTGCTAAAGTAAGTGCCAGTTTTGCTACTGGTTTCACCTGTGGCTTTAAAAAGCTGCGACTCAGACCGGCTTTCCAGGCACGACTTGTCAGTCATCTGCAAGTGGTCTCAAATTTGTTTTGCTGCCAAGATTGAGGAGCTGTAGCATGGACACGCTTGCACATGCTTTGGGGGGCTTTTCCCTCCATACTGCATGCATACAAGTCTTGGTGACGTTGATGGCAAATGCTTGAGCAAAAGGAGGAAGAGCAGACACCAGGGCATTTTTGGTCTGCTTCGGTAAGTCTGACAACAAAAAATGCTTCCCTCCAATAAGCATGTTAATGCACATAAAAGTTTTGTTGGGTGTGTATATATTCTCAGAAGATGTTTGTGACCATCTGGGTATGGGCACAACAAAACGGTTGGATAATTGTGTCATGACTGGTTTCATCACCCTGTTTTAACCTGATTCTGCATTCCTTGATTGAATATCCAGCGTCTACATGAAAAATGCAAGCCAGACCCCTCTAGCAGTAATCTGTGCATCTTTGTGCAAAATGCTGGACACAGGTTTTGTGTGGCAAAGGTTGACAAATGGGTAGGTCACCTTGCTGCACATATACCCTTGTGCATATGCTGGACAGCGGGTAACAGAGTTACAGAATAAGAACAAGAACCCCAAACTTTCCAGTTAGTTCTGAAAAAAATGCATTCAAACAGTAATCGCTCAAGGTGGGAAAAGCCACTACATTCAGCTGCTGCTTTGAAGCAACAAAACAGCAGAACTGCAAAAAAAAGGCTGAAACTTTCCACGTGTCCAGTAAATACTGGCTGAAAGTAACATTTCAGTGTTCACATGACATTTGTTTCAGAAGCCTGATTGGATTTTTTTTTCAAAAAGACTGCAATGAGGAAAACCTCCTACGAATGCTTTTGTGGTCACCAACTATCTTCATGATGAATTGTCCCCCAAATTTACTTTTTTCTTTTGGCTCTCTCTGTCTGTCTAAATGTTTAGGCAATATCGGTTACTAATGGAATGGCTCTAGATTCTCCAACATTATGTTTCGTAGAGTTTCCTCCTCACACTCCAGAAATGTTGACTCCTGTGTATCTGTAGCCTTGAGCTCGGGTTGTGTCCAGACGCGATGGTCTCTTGTGAAGCAGATGCTGGGTCTGGTAACTCATATTCAATCAGAATGCAGAACTAAGAGGCAAAGTTCACCTCCTTAGTGAACACGTGTTTTGTTTTCTCATTGTCGTGTTTCTTACTGGTTTTCCAAGAAACATGTCAGAACACTGTACAACTGCATGTAATCACTTGTTTTAATGCTTTCACCTTTTGCATTTCTTTTTTTAAAGCTCAAGAGTCTGCTGACCTTATTTTCCTTATTGACGGATCAAACAACATCGGAAGTGTCAATTTTCAAGCCATACGTGATTTCCTTGTAAATTTGATTGAAAGCCTCAGAGTTGGAGCTCAGCAGATACGCATTGGGGTGGTGCAGTATAGTGATCAACCCAGAACCGAGTTCGCTTTGAACAGCTACCCCACAAAAGCGGATGTTCTGGCTGCAGTGAAGGCGCTTAGTTTCCGTGGTGGCGAGGAAGCTAACGTTGGTGCAGCACTGGAGTTTGTGGTGGAGAACCTCTTCACCCAGGCGGGAGGCAGCAGGATAGAGGAAGCGGTGCCGCAGATTTTAGTGCTGATCAGTGGTGGAGAGTCTAGTGATGATATCCGAGAGGGCTTGTTAGCGGTGAAGCAAGCTAGTATATTCTCATTTAGCATTGGGGTCCTGAATGCTGACAGTGCAGAGCTGCAGCAGATTGCTACTGACGGAAGCTTCGCATTTACTGCCCTGGATATCCGTAACCTTGATGCGCTTCAAGAATTATTACTGCCAAACATTGTTGGAGTGGCCCAAAGACTCATTTTGTTAGAGGCCCCAACCATTGTTACCGAAGGTATGTATGTCTTTCTAGACTGTTGCATTTTGATGAAATGAATGCGCTTTTGCACGCTTTAAAAAAAAAAAAATTTTTTTTTTTTTTGCAATGCATCTGTCTGGTCTGGTTTTGGAGAAACAATTAAAAAAGAAAAACACTCCTGGAGCTAATGTGCAGATACTGGTTTGCCCCATGGGTTACCTTTTGGAAACCATAAGGTTTTGTTTCAGTAACCAGCATGGCAAGGAGCTTTAAAGGACACAAGCAGAGCATGAAAAAAGCTCATATAATCGTTATTGTGGTATCTAAGCACCCCGGAGTTAAATGCTACAGCATGTTCAGCTCTGAAAAGATTTATGTCACATAAGCTTACGTTATTTGTCAGTGGTCAGTGTCATCCGAATCCTCTAGGAAATTAGACTGGGGAAGCTAATTGGGATGTAAAATGGATCCCTCTTTTGAAGGGTTGAAGTTACCAATTTTAAAGTTATCGAGACAGTAAAATTGACTGCCCAGTAGAAACTGTGCGTTAACCTTGGAAAAAGGGCGTGATTCCACTCGGAAACCTGTAATGTTGAACTTAAAAACAAAACATCCCATAGTTCTTCTGGAAGGAAATCCCTACCTTGCTAACTTAAGCTTCCCTTCAGTCCCAAAGCTGAATAAGTTTGCATCTTTGCCTGAGGAGCAGAAGATGTGGGTGTCAATATTCCACTTAGATCACTTTGTCGATTTACATCCTCACTGCGATTATTTCTGGACTTACATTAACTTGGATACAATTGAATAATGAACACCTAGTACTATGTGCTGGATTTACGGAGTGTGCAGTATTTAAGAGTTTTGCACCTTCAATTTTATGACTAAGTTACATTTACCGATGGAGAGCTTTATGAAAGGCACAACAGGACATATTCCAAAGGGTCCTGGGAAGAGCAAGCCTGCAATTCATGCCTGTAATTACCAGCACGCTTAACGCAAACCACAATTTTAGGGGTCCAAATGCCAGTTTGGAGTTCTGTACTTATTGTTCAATTCCTGATGTGTGTTGACACATAAAACTGCATCCCAGATGTCTTTACTAACCTACATCTAAACATATTTGCTATCCCATGGCTGATACCAAAGGGAGCAATTGGCTTAAAAGATCATTTTGCAACCTTGTGCTGATTATTCTGGAAAAACATATAAAGAACTTTTGCTTATGACACCCCCAAAAGAACCATATTTAGCTAAACAAGCTGAAGCATGTGCGTCTAGCTAAAGGAGTGCATGTCAGGACCCATAGAAGTCAACAACAAACCCCTTTTTCTGCCCCACTGACTTTAACGGTATTTAAATCCCAGTAGCTGGGGCGTTTGCAGAAGGCTAAAAGGATGGGGATCTTTAGTTTAGAACTACTTCCAATGCTTTAAGCTTTTGAAATTGAAATGAATTTCTGCTCAATTATTTAATCAGAGAATGGCATGATTGAAAACATTAGTACATTTTGTTTCCTGTGTACCTGGATAGCTTTCATTCACAACACCAGTGCATTTGTAGAAGGCCCTCCAATAGCATCAGCCTGCATAATCACACATAGTTGTATCTCCTAAGTACAGAGAGAGAAGTCACTATTTTCAAAGGAGTTTTAGGGCATTTCCCTTGCCTAACTTCCGTGGAAGTGCATTTGGATCGGGCTGCTAGACTCACACCCATACTTTGAAAGTTTGCAGTGTAAAGCACAGGTCTGAGACAAGTCAGTGCAGCCCAGAAGGGCTTGGCCCATCAAGATGCCCAACGTTCCCGTGCGATGCAGAAAGCAGAAGCCCTCCCGCTGTGCGTTCGCCCCCCCGCCTCTCCCCGGGATGAACAGCTCTCTAAAAAGACCTCTCTGCCTCCCCGCTCTCCTTTAACTACTAGGGAAACATGGATGATTTGCTTAGATTAGATGCCTCACGTAAAAATAGTTGAGATGCTAGCGATGAGAAGGGAAGCAATTCAGGGTTGGAGGCGAAGGAGATCCCCTTAGACACTCATCCCCAAGGAAACACAACAATTTCCAGAGTCAAAGATAACGCTTCGATCCAAAATCCTTTGAAAATCCTGGGAGCCATCAGCTTCATCAGGCTCTGCCTCAGCCTCTAAGAGATGCATACAGCCTTCCCTAAAAGTTTTTACTTTAATTGTGTCCATTGAAATTAGCACAATGGGAAATTTCTTCTCGTGGGTTTTGGTTTCAGTTCTTGCATTCCCCTTCTATAAGGAAATGTAATGCAGAATTTGACAGCTGCAAGTGGAATTACTAGCGGAGAGAGTTATTGCTTCTTGGCCTCCCTCGTCTTTGCAAAGTCCTTTTGATGTTTCCCACAAACTTCTATATAAAGTCAAAAATTTCCAGGGTCTCCATTTTTGGGTATCTAGCTGCTGACAAGCTATGGAAGCGCTTTTGGACTTCTTTTCTGGATGATACAAAGCAGGGATTTCAGGCGTTGTTAGCCTTTTGCAAAGTTTCCTGTGTTCAGGCCTCTCCTCGGAGTAATTGAGGAGGCAAAAAACCTGACCGGGAGAACGAATATTGGAAATCTCATGGCTCTATAAAGTGAGTTAGTTTAAACAAATCCTTGTTGCTGTGTGAGTAGCTATATTTTGACTGCCTAGGCCATAAATGCTTTTACTACAAGCCACTGACAGATAAAGTGAGGCTGTGGCTCAGGGAATGCATTGCCACAGAGACAAGAGCAGCTCTCATGCTCTTTGTGCATGGTCCTATCACCTCACGTCTAATAGCACAACAGTGGGCTGCTTTCTCGAGCTGCAAATTTTGACAATCCTGATGCAGTCCTCGCTCAAACAGTTTCCAGCGGGAGTCTCTGAGGGGCATTTGCAGAGACGCGTGCTTGCCTGCAGAGGCAGGTCTCTCAAAGGTCTCTCCACAGTCCCAGGGAGAGGGGGCAGCTGAGTCACAGAAGCTGACTTCAGCTCTAAATCTCTCCTTGGGGTGGCCCAATCTTATTGCACCAGCCAGTAACGAGAAACCTAACCGAGACCAGCCTCCCCAGGCAAAAGTTGGCTTTTGCGAGCATTGCGTTTTGTGGCCAGCTGGGAATTGTCCAAGAGAGGACTGAAGCCAAATCTTTGTTCTTTGTTCAAATCCAAAGCAAACAGCATCCATGCAGAGGAGCTCTGTCGGGCTAAGGGGCTGCACTTTTCCACCCGCGACACGACGGAGGGTATTTGCTACTACTTGCCATGAGCTGTGTGAGATGCCATTGCTTCTGGGTCTCCCTTTCCCACGCTCCGCATCTGTGCACTGGGCGTAGCAGTGACCTGATAGGTGAAGGACCTTCCACCTTGGATATTAGCCTGATCTCAGGAGCTGTTAGGCTGCCCAGTTTGAGGATGCTCAAAACCACTAGTAGCTTTTGAGTATTCTGGCCATCCAGGTTGAAGGCAATACCTTGGTAAAAATACTCTTTACTCTCAAGTCTTCTGCTTCAGTTGCCTTACATTTGCTGTTTTAACTTGACGCAGAGAAATGAAGTTTAAGAGGCTTTAAAAGAGGTGGAAGTGAAAATTATGAACAAATGCCTTTCTTATCCATTTTAATTTGGGTGGAGAAGACCCTCTTTGATTTTCCACTTGCTAATGTTGTGAAAACACAACATTTACAGGTCCTGAAAAAACTGTGTTAACAAAATTGCCTTAATCATATTTTTTTTCCTGATTTTGGCCACATTTTCTATTGATGTATATTTTCAGAGCTCTCTTGAAATCAGTGGTGTTAAACAGAAAATGTTTTTTAAGCTTCTGGACCTCAAACTAAGGTCTGATCCAATGTTAACCAGAAACAATGCAAGGTTTCCTTTTTCACTTCGATAGCATGAAACTGGGTAGATGATACTGTGAATGAGGTCCTTCATAATATTGGCTGTGGCTCACCACTTCAAAGAATAGCTGTGGGTTATTTAAAGAGTGGTGCTAGGAGTTTCTCCCATAATGATCGTGTATAATGTTTTTATTATAATGACCGCTTGACCGCTGGTCCTGTTAATATTTACTGTTGCATATTGTATTTGCTGTATTAAATACAATGGTGTATTGGTTCCCGCGCCACACAACACATTTTTCCCCCTAAACTGTCTTCTTCCAAACTTGGCCAGGGACCTGGAAACGTACCTAGTTGTGCTCTTTCTGCGTCCTGTGCCATCGTCCATAACAAAGTTTCAAAGATTACAACCTAGGGGACCACTTTTGCTAAAGATATGACAACCAGGAATAGGATTCAGCTCTTCCATGGCTGGGCTAGCTGTACCAAGAAAAATCATATCTTGTTTTTGTTAGATAAGGAATAAGATATAGGACGCGAAGACCCACGGTCCAGGTATGTTGAATACGTTGCGACTGTTCTTTACTTCTGTAATTACTCTTGTGAACCTAAACCTTTCACGACCAAGTCCCTCTCGGGTGAAATTATTATGGCTCCACTGTGGACAGAGGAGCATCACCTGTTTATTTCTAATGTTCCACCCGAGTACAACATTTTGCCTTTTTTTTATTTTGAAATATACATGCATTTTAAACCATACTTTGAAATGTGATGTTTTATTATGCTTGATAAGCAATGTAATTTTTGCAACCTTTCTGTTTTAGAAAGGGGAAACATTTAATGAGATTTCATATTAGGCCTGTGCTAGAGCCTGAAAAATAATTTTGTTTTGAAACAAGACTCCTAGGAGAGAAGTGAGATTCGTGACGCAGAACTGAACCACCCCTTATAAAGGTGTTGACAGTAACAGTACTTCAAGCAAACAAGGAGTCCTAAATGTTGCTGGACTGTTGATGAAGTATTGACGCGCGGAATTTGGGAAGGGTCTCCACTAACATTGTGTTTTTGTGTGTATATTGTTACTTGCAGTTATTGAAGTGAACAAGAAGGATATAGTCTTCCTGATAGATGGCTCGACAACTTTGGGCACTGCCCCCTTTAATGTAATCCGTGATTTTGTTGCCAAAATCGTCCAAAGGCTGGAGGTTGGACCCGACCTGATTCAAGTGGCGGTGGCGCAGTATGCTGACACTGTAAAGCCAGAGTTTTATTTTAACACCCACCAGAACAGAAAGGATGTGATGGCTAATGTGAGGAGAATGAAGCTTATGGGTGGTACGGCACTCAATACAGGGTCGGCGCTGGACTTTGTTAGGACCAACTTCTTCACTAGCGCTGCTGGGTGCAGGATGGAGGAAGGGGTACTTCCCATGCTGGTGCTCATCACTGGCGATAAGTCTAGGGATGCCGTTGACCAAGCCGCAGCAGAGATGAAAAGGAACAGGATAGTTATCCTTGCCATTGGGTCGAGAAACGCAGACATGGCAGAACTGCAAGAAATTGCCCATGAGAGAGATTTTGTTTTCAACCCAAACGACTTCCGCCTTCAGTTCATGCAAGCCATTCTTCCTGAAGTTCTGTCGCCTATACGGACACTATCTGGAGGAATGATTATCCAAGAACCGCCACCAGGTAATTAATTGCCTTGCTCTGAGCAAAGGAGATACAGCTGATGCATTTGTCAACTCTTATTCTATGACACAGAGAGAGAACAGAAAAAAGCATGAAGTACATGTTTCAGCATAGCTAAGTGTCGTCTCTCTCAGTTGTAAAACGTGCATGAACAGATTGATAAATTTGTTAGTGTGTTCATTATTACAGTTTTGTCACTCCTTCCCTTGAGATTTTGTCCCATGCCATGTGCGTCACCAAAATTCAGAGCTTGGATGTGAAAGATATGCCTTACTAGTTAGGTACTCAAATCATTTGCTGAAGGTTTTTTCTCATTTGAGATTTGTGTTACCTATCAGCTGGGCATATCATGAATATTATAATCTCTTATGCAGTTTGAAAACCATCTGTAGTGAATATTTGCTCTTGAAAGCTTAAATATTTCTTCTGAGTCTAAAGAAAATAAGAAAGTTTGATCAGTTAGATGGTCAGAGAAAGTTAGCCTGACACTGCTGGCCTGAAATTTACTCTTCAAAAACATACTTACTGTTTTCTTCTCATCACTCACTCAGCTCAAGCTGTAAGAGGCACATGAGACTATTGCAAAGTTGCTTTTAATTTAATCTGTGTAGAAGACGATCCAAAGCCCTGTGAAGCTGGTGGATTCTTTTTACTTTGTCTTTCCACTGACATCAGTAGACTTTGGAAACAATCCAGTAACTAGAGTAATGTCTTTTGAGGCACTTTTCCCTGTATTTTAGGATTTTTATACTAAATTTCTCAGGATTTCTCCCCGATAGGGAGGCTTGAAGTTGAATTCTTGCTGTGCCAGATCATATCTTAACTTTGCATTTCTGTCCCATGGCATGTGAACATTAGAAAAACAGGACTTCTTCCAGCTCCCTGTAAGGTCAACAGTGAGATTCCCATAGGCTTAAGTGGGTGTCACACCACGTCCATGTTATTTTTTCCCATTTCTCCAAGTAATTTAAAATTATAAACCACAGTGCAAAGAACCTGAGTTTTTTGAAAGGGTCTTTAAAAAATAAAAAACAGAATACTCTTTATGAAGAGCTGACATTTTAAAATCAATTTGCCAATATTTGTCCTTAATTAAGATGAATATCACAGGACTTATCATTTCATAAGCTTTTTTCAAAATGTGTTTCCTGCTAATACAGTTTTGCATGGCTATATACCAAACCTGACATTTTAATTTTTCCATGTAAATTAAAAATGTTCCTAAACTTCCTCATTCTTTAAAGCTTATACATGCAGCTTCTCTTTTTCTCCAGTTCTTGTGCTCTACTGTACTCATAGCTATGCACATACACAGTAAGCAAGCGAACATATCCCACTCCATAAACAGACTAGGATTAGTAACATAACTGATTTGGGCCCTGGGCAGCTAGCTACATTTCAGATGGATTATATAAGGATTATCTCACCCCAAGCCTTGAAGTGCTGTTCCTCCAGGAGAAATTAAACATACAGGAAGCCAAGACAATCTGAAATCTGAGAGCAATCACTGTACTCCAAAGGGCCCGTTTCTCCCTTTTATTTTTAATATCTTGGTACTAGGACAGTAAGCTTACAGGGAGAAGATAAGCTAGAGAGATCGATCAATATCTCCATAGATCCACGGTGAACTTTTAAACGGAAAGCTGTTGGACAGCATTAGCAGCGGGTGTAAGTATTCTCAGACAGCTTATCGGTATGTGAAGGAAGATATCCCCATGATACACTGGAAGAACCTGTGCCAGGCTACCCAGGCAGGTAGATAAACGTGCTACACACCTGTGCAACGTATCACGCACCTCAGACCACATCTCCAGCTGCTGAACACACCACCTGGGTTTATGCTCCCCCACCTCAGA